TAATTTTTAAGCTAAAATTGCCTGTACTTATGTATGTAACCTTTTGACTTGTTCTGTATCCAAAGGTACTAACCTACTTAGGATTTATAGAATGTAAATCAGTTCAATTCAATTCAAAGAGATGACTTTGGTGATGACGACAGTGATGCTATAGCCTGTATGAGATTTACTGTATGCNCGAAATTTTAAAATTCCCGTTATTTCCTGAACACACCTCGTATATTTATGAGGTGCTATCAGAAAGTTCCTGGACTGGGTAAAAAAGAAGTGCTGGCTTAAGTTGCTCAATTTTGGCTGTCATCTCCTTCAAAATAGTTCTCTTGGGAATGCATACAGCAATCGCATCATTTTTTCCACACTTCAAAAGCACTGTGAAAGTGATTTTGCTTAATGCTATGGAGTACCACTTGCAATTCCCTTTGGATGTCAGATACTGTTTCAAAAGTCATCCCTTCAGTTTCAGTTTCAATTTGGGAAGCAAAGCGAAATCACAGAGGGCTAAATCCAGCGAGTAGGGAGGGTTAACAATAACCATCTTTTTAGTCTCAAACTCTGTGGTTATCAAGGACGTGTGGGCAGGTGCATTGTTATGATGAAGGAGCAGTGTGGTGCATGTTCAAATTTTCTGTTAAGATCTCCTGGCAAACTCTATAACTGATCCCAGTGGTGTCTGCAAGCTCATGGATTGTTCGGCAACTGTCTTCATTGATGAGTTCTCAAATTTCTGTCAACATTTTCTATTGTTTTGTTGGTTCTTTGTTGCCCTGAATGTTTATTGCCTTGAACTGACACTTGACTGGCCTTGAAATGTGAATGCCATTCAAAAACCGCCATCTGGCTTAAATAATGTTTTTGAAGAGCCTCACAAAGCATTCCAAGGGTTTCGGTAATGGTTTTATTGAGCTTCATGCAAAGTTTGACACAGACACATTGCTTGATTTTGCCATCCATCGCAGACAAAATGAAACACAAAGTTGAAGAAAACACTCATGTAAAAACAACGCATGTTACGCATGTTCACAGTATGGTGGCACATGGCAGACAGATGCAATGGACCTATAAAAGTGTGACGTTGGCCTCCCCCCTTATCTTCTTTCACCGAGGCAGTTACAATAATAATAGTCTGGGAACTTTTTGATACCAGCTCATAGACAATGTAAAGAAAAGAAAAAACAAACTCCGTGGTTTTAGTCCGCAAGCGAACTATACCGACTGAGTGACCGCCACTTCATGGCAAAGTTAGTGCCAACTGTTCAGCGCAACGAATCCCCATGGCTATTTATTTCGGTTTTCTAGACTGCATAGACAATGTAACAGTGTTTGAATTTATTTCAGGTGGGGTTAGTTGAACAAGAGTGGTTGGATACACTGGGCAACATTAATCCCGAAGAGGTAACCTTCCTCGATTTTATTGAAGCTGGAAGAAAGTTGGGAGCTCAACTCAAACAGGAGGTATGTTTCTCATGCTACGTAAAATGTCTGGATATATTCTCATGTGTTAGGGCCTAGACATGAGGTTTGCATTGATAACTGGACTTATCAAACACTTATAATAAACACAAATAATTATAACACACTCTTTAGTCTACACATTGTACAGATCATTATAGCTCACACTAAGACTTCCTAGATTGTTCTGTCTTCAACAGTCATTGCTTGGTAGCGACTTGCTACAGTGGAGATTTTCTCTACTTTTGTGCTCATGGCCAACCACCAACTGGGACTGCAGACTCAGCTTACTCACAAGCAGCTGCTAGCTACTGATTGCCAGCTTGCAACTGACTTGTCCCCAGTGGTCCTCGTTATATAGCCTTGGTGCTGACCACAGTTCTTCTGTTGTTGCATGCATATCTGTTGCTGTAGGAGTGTGTTTGCAGGGCCTTTGCCTATCAATGGCTGTCTCTTCTGGCTCTGCTGTTCTGCCTTTTAGGCATTGTATCACAGTATTATATGTACTGTGGGCCAGAGGGATACTAACACATTCAGAATTAGCTAAATTGAAAATGGAAGTCATCATTACTACGAGTATATGGATGCCAAAAAAACTTTTCATAGCAAAACATCATGGAAAGTACTGGCTAAGGATAATGTGTAGAGGTGGGGTTTGTTATTAATGGGGTTTTACCCTCTTATTTTCTTGCGACAAAAATGGTTTGAAATACAGTGCAGTGTTGATAGAATGAGAATTTATAAAATTGATAAAAATGCTTATTCTAATGGATACTCGTAATATACAAAAATTGTTTAAATATGTAACTATAAGTCAATCCAGTAACTTGCAGTTATGCATAATACAATATGACACTAAGTTTGAATACTGATATTGGTATGGCAATATTTTTACTACTTTGGGGTGGGTCCAACAAGAATATGAAAGTAATGAATAATAATTCAGCATTTCATCATCATTAGCATTATCTGAATAAAAACTTTCTTAAAAGTCTATATATAACATCTTCTACTCCCATCCTTTCCAAGCCAAAGTACTGCCTACAGTTTACTTCATGCACACAAATCCCGTGTTCATTCTACCCAATATTCGTTGCAGACCCACATTCCACCCATAATTTGCTGTATGTGCAGGCTAGTGAAAAGCAGTGTGTTAATTTGTATCAGATTGGAGTGACAGATGTAACACATGAAGCAGTTAAAATCCCACCAATACTTATGTACATACACTACTTTATGAATTGTTTAATTACCACAGCTGGAATACGTTTGTGTATGTGTTAAGTTTTACTTAACTGTAAAATGCTTGTTACAGTAGTGCTGCATAAACTTTGCTTGAACCTTTGTATAAATTGACACCTAAGTTATCACACTTGTAATGAAAGTAAACCTCTTTATAACAGACATGGATGGAATGTACCATCATGATGTAGCTCCCGTGCATGTGATATTACACTGGTATCACAGGTCTCTTCTTATGTTCATCACACAGTCACATCTCGCATCATGAAACAGTTTCACTAATATGTATTCATGAAAGTGGAACAGTATTTGTTTGCATGGGTTTGGTATACACCATATTTGTCTTTGTTCTTCAGTACTGCAGACAGTGTTGAAGTTAATCCATACTGCCTTCTGTTGTGCTTCTACAGACATATTATGACAGTCTTCATATTCAAAATGAGCTTTTCTATTTGTTGCTGTAATTAGGTGTTTTCAAAATTTTGTAGTGGGCACCATCCAAAATATAGCTGATGTTTGATGGGGACGGAACCTTAAACAGCCCATGCATAGTTATATTTTGTGACATCATCATTCATCCTGGGTCACCGGAAGCTCAGGAGAAGCGGAAACCTGAGGCAAGGAGGGGAAGGTACTGCATGATGCTTCTGCAAACTGTTTCAATTAGCTAAGCAGCACAGTACACACTAAACAAGGTACTGGACTGAAGAGGAAGTTCTTGGGTAGTCATGTGAAATGCATTTCTCAGATGTGAAAACAAGGTAGGGATGAGCTACTCCCAGATCTGGATTGCAAATAAGGGTGCTGACACAGGATGGGTAAAGGGGACCTTTATGGACTGCTAGCCAAAAACAACTTTGGAAACAAAACTGTCATTGATGCAAAACCCTGGTGGCGGATTACAAATTATACTCATTATAGTGACAGTGCCAGAAGGAATCCCTTATTTTATGTAATGGTTTTCCATATACATCGTCACCTCTATTTATATTTCTTATTTGAAGTTCTTCCCTTGTTTAATGGTCATTTGGAATGATTCCAAGTGAATAGTCTCAGTGTTAAATTACCTCCATTTAAAATTTTCGTCAGTTTAGTGTTCAAATCCACTGCTTCCAAAAGAAACCTGAAATGGTTGTTTTACTATGTATACTGTTGAGAAATTAACAATACCAGTGGTTTTTTCTTCTGTAATGAAGTCCTTGTTGTGTTTTACAGTTTTATTTTAATTAAAACGTATGAATCTGTTTTTTTTCTTCTCCCCCCCCCCCCTTGGCACTACAGCCCTAGTGGGCCTAGGCCTACCTCCATGAACTCCAATCACTTTGGTTTTTCTAGATCTTACACATACGGTAGGACTCCTTGGGCAAGTGATCAGCTCATCACAAGGCCTCTACCTGTAGACAAACACAGAAAAACGCACACAAACATCCATGCCCTGAGTGGGATTCAAACCCACGATCCCGGCTTCCGAGTGAGTGAAGACAGTGCATGTCTTAGACCACTTGGCTACCATGACCGGCATGAATCTGTTAGCCAGTATTAATTTTTACTATTGAGAAATATTGTTATCAGTTTGTATGTATGTAAGAGCTATGCTCAGGAAATTATCTTCAAACATTCTACACCCCTTTTTATTGTTCATAACTGTTACATGTTCATTTCAGTGGTTAGTATTGTTAAGATGCAATATTTCGTTTCATTCAGCTATGGATTTGTTTTAAAAGCCTTCGTTTAATAAGTTTTAATTTAACAGAAACATAAAGTGAATTGTCACAATGATGACTTCCATTGTGAAGGTGTCCAGTTCATATTGTAGTCAGTGACCAGCTATATTGGCTGAGAATAATTATGGAATTCCTTCTGTCAGTAGAGGCAAGTGCCAGAACAATACTTAGGCATATTTGCTCAAGGCAAGAACTGTGAAGCAAATTGGGACAGCCATTGCTAGGGAACAGCTCTACAAACATGTCTGTTACTAGGCAGCAGTTTTGTAACATGCAACAATGGAGTAACTGGGAAGCAGTGTTCTCTGTGTGGTCCATGGCAATAGCTATGTGATGCAACAAAAAAAAATGTTTGGAGAAATATTTTGTATGTGGCCCATGCCGAGGCTACATAAAAAGTCCATTGTGCTTAATGAGTGAGTTAGTTCATCAGTTGGAAGCCAGTTAGTTTGGCTCGGACACTGTAGTCGAAAGGTGCCAGCCAGGGAGGACAGGAGCCATTGGACATGGAAGCTGAGGATGCTACACCATTGCATACTGCTACCAAGGAGCGCAGTAAAGACCATGACTAAGAACACTAGACTGTGTGTGATAGTGCTTTGCAAAATGTACTCATGAGCTGTGTGTTAAAAGTGTCCAGTAAATCCACTTATCACTCCAATAGTCTTTAAATCATTTGACAGCTAGTGTCAGAAATGAGATTGGATTAATTGATTATTGTATTGAAGATGGCATTGTGTAGTTACAACATCATACCATATAAATGGAACAAGTGATGAAGCAGATGCATGCTGGCTGAAATAAGAACCACCAAAGCCAAGATAGACAGCACTTTAAACGAGATGATAGTCAAGCCGGAAACCTGGTGAGAAGGGATGGAGGCCTTTGCAGGAAAATTTAAGGCCAGTCGAGAAAAGTCAGATGACATAGTGGAGCATCAGGAAGTTCCTAATGAGAAGGCCACAGTGGGCAATATGGACCCCAGCATCTAACTGTAGCGTAGACCGTGTCATAGCTGAAGCGATTAGTCGCTGGCTTCCCACCACGGCGGCCCGGGTTTGATCCTGGGTCAGGTCAAGTGGGATTTGTAGTGGACAAAGTGGCACTCCGGTGGGTTTTCTCCAAGTACTTCGGTTTCTCCTTCCAATCTTCATTCCACCAAATTCTCCATCATAATCACCTTGGGCAGGTACAATAGGCCAATCAGTGGCTGCCATGCTGAGTGGACACAGTTGAACTCCACCCACCACTAAGCAAATTAAAAAAAAACTAGGGTGCTGCTGACTGCAGAAGGTTCGCCGAAGACGCCATTGCTGCACAGTATGAGGGCTGCAGTAATAAAGGACTGACAGTCAAGAAGAGATGATGGAAGGGACCAGAGTGCAACAATGGTATAAAGGACCAAAGCCTACTTTTTTTTTTTAGCTTCTTGGGGGTGTACAGGTCATGTAGCACGAATGGAGGAGACGAGGAATGCGTATAGGATATTGGTGTGAAAGCCACAAAGAAAGAGACCACAGGGAAGACCAAGGCGTAGGTGGGTGGACAATATTACTCATAGAATGGATCTTAGAGAGATATGATGGGATGGTATGGACTGGATAGATCTGGCTCAGGATAGGGACCAGCGGAGGGCTCTTGTGAACACGCTAATGAACCTTTGGGTTCCATAAAATGCTGGGATATTCTTGAATAGGTGCAAAATTGGCAGCTCCTCAAGAAGGGCTCAGCTCCATGAGTAAGTAAGTAAGGGGTGGGCTGAGACTTAGTGAGCCACTATTTGGATTCTTGTACCAGCCTTGAATCATAGGTGATGAATGTGAAGCAGTCGCTGAAATGAGAATTGGCAAGGTAAACTGAAGTACTCAGAGAAAACCTGACCTAGATCATTTTTGTCCACCACAAATCCCACATAACCTGACCTGGGCTCAAACCCAGAATACTGTGGCTGGAAGGCAGTGACTAGCCACTGAGCTATGGTGCTGCCAACCGAAGCCTAAAAGAGCAGCTATGTCTAGAAAGCAAGAGGGCATTCAGAAAGACCCTCAGATAGACTTTCGGACTGGAGGTTGCAAAGCAAGCAGTCAAGTCTTCTGTCAGGCTGTGAAAAGTGGGTAAAGACATTGGAAGAGTCAGCCACCATCCAAGTGAAAGAAGAGACTACTCACAGTTGAAGAGTCAGAGTTATAGGAGCAGTGGACACTTGGGAAGTTTTGCCTGCACTGACCGGAGAAAGAGGATATGGCGGTATTCCATAGGCTACTAAGGACAAGCAGCCTCAGTGAAGTAGGAATGTGACATATTTGTTCAAAGCAAGAACTGGGATGCCAGCAGAGACAGCTGTTGCTAGGGAATGACTCTGCAAACATTACTGTTGCTATGCAACAATGGAGTAACTGGGAATCGGTGTTCTCTACACAGTCCATGCTGATAGTCACATGATACAACAATAAAAAACTGTTGCACATCATCTCAAAGTCAAAGTCACATTGCGGCTGACGGCCAGTCACTCAGTAAGTCTTGGTGTCGAGCACCCTCCTGGGTCTCATGACCAGATATTTGTTACTGTTTGATAGTTATGGTCTTGTTCTTCTGGGGCGCCCTCTCTGACGAGAGGACTGGTCTGTCTTCTGTACATGCTGCTGGTCTCGCCATCACAGTCTTTCTTGGATCTGAGTCCCTTGGGACTCGCGACGATATTTTACTGTCTCAGATTCGAGACTTCCCTTTTTGTCGCCTCCTACGACTTGCAGTGTCATGGTAGAGGTATTCATCTTCTCACTTTGTTCCTTATTCATCATTTAAAGTTGTGAGACCATGAACATATTTTATACTGCATGAACTCAGCAATTTATATAGTCTCATAAGATAACTAAATATTTAATCTTCAGTAACACAAGAATTGGTATGGTGTCACAATATAACTAAATAAAAAACAGGTAACAGCAAAAATTAGGGCATACCTGCAGATGCAGAAAGGTTTTGTGAATAACCTGAACAATGTAATGGGGAGTAATAATTGGCTGTTAAGGAGATGTGCAGTATGCAGTAGCACCACTCTGAGTATTTGTCATATACTCTGAGATATTCAGAACTGTATGGTGCATTGTCTCATGGTGTAAATTGATAATAAATTTATTTAATTTATTTAAATAAATTTTTGTTCCTGTACCTAAGTAAGCACCAGGTCATGATGACATGTGAGGTGCTAGATGGCACTTGATGGAGGTGAGTGGTCATTGTCATGCCTTAGTCACTGTACCTCCAGGGAAAGAGCTCCCAATACCAATTGGATAGGAGGTTTGGTGGGCCTTGCAGCTAGTCTGTATGCTGTATGTGTGCTCTATCCATGTTAGGAATCAAACTTTGATTCTCCAGTTACCGAGTCCATAGCTTACTTCATATACTGAGTGAGCTATTCGAGCTTCTTCACTTACCATTTTTTTAGAGTGGAGTTGTTCCTGTGCTTATACCGTAATACTTCAGTATAACAGTGTGGGGAAGTGCCTTTCAGTTCCTTAAAAGGCATGAGTGACTCTTCTCAATTTGATTAGTTTCAAAGGTGTTGAAATCTATATTTCTGCTGCTGTAGAAAATTCACTGGAAAGTCTCTTCATGTGTTACTGTATACAAATTAAGTATAACAGAGTTTTAATAGCAAATATAAGAATGGTGAGACAGGATCAGTAATGCATGTGTATTAAATATTTCAGGATCTCCCGTTATCTGATCATGACTTTAGCACATGCTCAGCTATATAGCCCTTTTTAGAAACTCATTTCTTTGTGTCTTTATCCCTCACCTCTTCCTTTCCTTTATCCCTTTCTTTCCTCATTTTTCCTCTACTGCTTTTCTATCCATTTATTCAGACTAATATCGTCTCTGTTCACCTTCCTTCCTTGATCTCCTTTAGGAAAATATTGCATGAAGGATTTTCTAATTACAGAAGATGTGAAATTATATAGATGTTTTGTGAAATGATGTGCTGAGGCTGGTAATTAATGTCAACTATTATGCACTGAGAGTAACTACATCCTCTGTGAGTGGAGGATACTCATATCCTGTATTATGATCCTCTCTCTTTTAAGGACATTCATAGACATCAGTTCAAAATAAATTCAAGTAACAATTTATAATGTAGATCTCACTTCCAGCATCATCAGAATTCATTTATTATGGTTGGATTCAAGTCTCTTGAAGTTTGGCTAGAAAAAATTGGGACTTGCCAAATTGTGGTCCTCCGCATGTGGGTGTACCAGCAGCAGCATTAGGAAACTGATAGACTACACAAGACTAGAACTGAACTGTTTCATAAAATAAATTAATAAAATATTAATTTGAACATTTATACACAGTTTCTTCCATGAAGTGTTCTTTTTTGACAGGGAGTTCGCCTTTTTCATAATATTTGAAACTAGTTCTAAGTACAACATATTTTTTGGAAGTCATGTAGGTTTTTCACTTTTTTGTTGTTGGAATGTTTATGTATGTTCTCAGTGACAGAAACACCTTCTTGGTACTGGCTTTCTTCTCCTTTTCCTTCTGCATGTGCGTATGTGCCTTGCATATGCAACGTGCTTTGGCTGCCACGTTCTTGCACACATGTTTGTTAAAATAAATTATACACATTAAAAGCTATTTTGTGAATGCTGCTAACTGTAATTGCTGGAATGACCACTATCACTTGTACATGGCTTCTTGAGTGACATGTTATATGAGTATTCAGGCACTTTGAATCAGAAACTACGTACTTGTCCTCAGTTAAAAAGAAATTGACACAGCTTGAACATGCTGCTTGTATCATGGGTGAGAGACAAACTGATAAATTATATCCTTTCCTGCTCTTGCTCCTTGTTTGTCCTGGCGTGCTATGAAATAATACAGTTCCCTGAAGTATGGACAGGATAGAGATGAAAAGAAAGAATGAGGCAACACCTGCATTGTCTGAGATAAAATTCCAGTAAAATTTATGACATAGACTTCTTTAAACGCTATAAACAAATGATTCAGCCTTCATGAAACTACTTTATGAGATATGAGAGCAATATTTGCACAAATCATAAATGTACTGTCTGCAAGAAGGGGTATCAAAATCGCAACTGTCTCTGATAGATATGATCAGTGGTTATAAGAAAACTTTAAAGGACCCTAAAATGCTAACCATTTTGGCTAGAAATGTGCGGCTTACTTGTACACATTCAGAAAAATGAGGCCTTTTAACTAATTCTGTACATCATCTGAGTTCATAAAGGCTTTGTCTGATTGCACAGGACATTTGATTTGAAACTCAGTGACAGTCTTGAACTGGGCAGCGTAGCATGTCTCTTACTGGTTAGTACAGTAACAGCGGACGCACATCAAATGTCAAAAAGATTTTAATCCTGCTGTAGTTTTGGAGATGTACATATGTGTAGTCTTGTTGCCCATAACAGTTTTTGTGAGCCCTGCTTTGGAAGAGAACTTGATGTGTGTACAGCAAATAACTTGGTATAACATGGCAGGTATTCACCTAACAGCAGACATGACCATGCACTTTATTCATCCTCCATTCTTTGTACGAGCTGCTACACATTACCAAAGCATGTTTTCTTTTGGACTGTAGAACAAAGCACCACATATGTACAGCATCCTAACAGCCACAACTCTCTCCACAGTCCCCTCAATGTGAACTCAAGAAACTGTTGGCTTTTCTGCATATTCAAAAATATTTGATATTACATTTTGTGCCTTGAATTTTTTGTTATTGAATTTAATATTTTGTTTTATTGGCAGGGTTGTGACTATGTGATTGCATTAACACACATGAGAAATCCAAATGATGTAAAGCTGGCAGAAAATGTGGATGAGATAGATTTGATTCTCGGTGGTCATGATCATCTCTATGAAGTTAAACAAGTAAGTAAATGCAATGAATCTTAGAGAATACTTTTCAGAAGTGAACTGTTAATCACAAAGTGATGCCAGGGGTTGAAATAGAGGTGTAAGCCAGAATGGGCAATTACCCACCTACCCGTATGGCTTTCTAGGGCCTTGTACCAGCTTCCTCAGTTGTCATTCTTTCTGTGGCTATACCATTGTCATTAGTGTCTGTAATTGGCATTCAGTGCTGTCTTCCATCGTGCTTGTAGTTAGAAGGGTATTTTGAGGAACCAACTCTTAAGTTTTAGTGGTTAGATATGGGACTTAACCTGCCTTGAGGGATGTTAACATTATTGCACTTGTCCCTTAGTTAGTTATTGGAGAGGGTGGGTTTCCCCATGCACTTAGACCTGTCTTTGTCCATTGTGCTTCCCTCTATGATATTCTACAAGTCTCTATATCCTACCGGTACTGGTGCTTACCATCAGTCCCGCCCAGCCAGCGAGACCGGCTCTACTAGCTGAGAGTTATCTATAATGCTTCCCCCATCTACCAGAGGTATTAGAGACTGCTGTTGGGCAGGAAACATCCGTAATTTGAAGAAAGCAGTCTTCTGGGATTTGGCACCATGTATATGTGGTGTTAACCGACGTTTCGGAGGAACGTATCGCCCCCAGTCTGCTTTACCGTTTATCACAGTGTTGTCGCTTGCAGATTTACTTATACTTTTTCTTCAACCCTGAAGATGGGGGCGATACGTTCCTCCGAAACGTCGGTTAACACCACATATACACGGTGCCAAATCCCAGAAGACTGCTTTCTTCATAGTCACCGCCGTGAAAGCCTCAAATCTTACATCTGTAATTTGGCTCAGTGACCTCGTTTGGAGATATGAGTTTCTTTTACATGCCGTAAAGCTACGACATGGGACCCATGGCTTAAAGTCCCTCCTGGAGGACTTGTTCCCTGAATTTTTCCGCCCTTAAAAATTCGACGACCTCCGTCGGGTATTTGAACCCGCGTACTACGAGTCATGAGGTGGGAACGTTACCTCTAGACTACAGAGGCCGCTCACTTGTCTCTTACTTGAAGCATATCAGGAAACCATAAAGGCTGAAAGAAGGTTTAAAGATAAACATCTCCCCGCCTAGCTTAATGCTGGACTGATGCCTGTCATTAGAATGTGGCTATCACCCTTTCCTAACAATGACCACTTATGGGCCTTGACATAGAGTTACCTGTGTGTTATGAAAGGTGTATCGCCTGGGAGAGAGGGAGTTAGTGAGATACAGTTGGATACAGTTTGATAGTTAGACAGTCACAGAGTTAGATAGAGAGTTATATAGTGATGACAAGTAATCACTCAGACAGAGAGTCATGAAAGATAGTGATATAGACTGTTGTATAATGACGATAGCTATGAAATTTAAAGTAATAATTGCTGTGAGAGATATCTACAAGGAGTTGAGGAATAGATTCAGAAATTTAGTGGTTAATTGAAGAGTAATAGAACAATGTGCAAGCTTAATGGAGAATTGATCAATCTTTCCAGATATAATTTCACTTATCATTTTGCTAAACACCAGAAATATGTACTGTTTGTTGTATTAAAGTGATAATGTAATTCATAACTCCCCAAGTGCATTTCCCATCCTGGTCACCAAAGCAACCAAGATCCCTAGAGAAAAAGATCTCGTAACTGCTGACTTGTCGTGGCATACATATTAACGACGCTGCTGGCACAGGAACCCAGGAGTCAGCTCGGAAGAGAACACCAGAGGTGGGTATCTCTGGAACAGTTGCAGCATTTTCCAGTCTCAGTTCCTGCAGAGGACATCGCAGATGGGTTGGTGAACCTTGGCTTTTGGTGTTATTAGCCGGAAACAAATGTCTAACACCCATCGATCACCTGCATAAAGAACAACCACAGTAAACATTCCCCTCTTCCTATTAACCTTACTAGGTCATCAAAGTCATGAGATCTTCAAACCTATGAGCCTTTGCCATAGTGCAATCAGGGTAGAGGCATACAAAGTCCAGACTGGCCCCATACAGTGTTACACCCACAAACAATTCAGCCAAGCTTGGACCAACTGCAAGCAATATCCCTGTTGTATGTTGTGTGGAGGCGGTCATCTTCACAAGGAGTGCCTGGAAAAGGGCAGTACTGCATTGATGCCAACATACTACAGCTGCAAGTTGGTGGATGAAGAAGAACGACATCCCACCCATTATCAAGGCTGCAAGCACGCCAAGAAAGAGATTTGAAAGGACAGTTGCAGAAGGCTCCCAAAACTAAATCGGGAAGGATATTCTCTTCCAACCATCCCACCACATGCTGTCCTTCTCAGCAGTGCTACACAGCAACAGCAGCAGCCTCAGCCACTCTCAGTTGCACAAGTCTGCCCCACCACATGGCTGTCCTTCTCAGCAGTGCTACACAGCAACAGCAGCAGCCTCAGCCACTCTCAGTTGCACAAGTCTGCCCCACCACATGGCTGTCCTCAGCAGTGCTACACAGCAACAGCAGCAGCCTCAGCCACTCTCAGTTGCACAAGTCTGCCCCACCACATGGCTGTCCTTCTCAGCAGTGCTACACAGCAACAGCAGCAGCCTCAGCCACTCTCAGTTGCACAAGTCTGCCCCACCACATGGCTGTCCTCAGCAGTGCTACACAGCAACAGCAGCAGCCTCAGCCACTCTCAGTTGCACAAGTCTGCCCCACCACATGGCTGTCCTTCTCAGCAGTGCTACACAGCAACAGCAGCAGCCTCAGCCACTCTCAGTTGCACAAGTCTGCCCCACCACAGTGGGAGAAATAAGTTCCCCCTCTTGAGGCACAACCAGACTCCTAATGTAAATAGTATGTCTCTGACTGACATGTTCAAAGTGGTTGCAACGATATTTCAGCAGATCATGATAGAGCTCAATGGGGCTGAGTCAGAAGAAGACGGAATAATGGCCATCCTAAAATTTGTATTAAAACTCATGAAACAAAATGGCTGCTAGTGTTCATAGACAGTAAATATGACTGAGCTGGCAAGGTACAGCATTTGTAAATGACAGAACCATCCTCTTGTCAGAGAGGGTGCCTGCCAGATACCTGCAATTGTCTGGCAGTAAAAAGAATTTGGTCTTGGGCCCCAGATGGGTGCTTGAAAGCAAAACATGGCTGAATCTAGAGTCTTGAGTCAATCAGAAGAGTGGGAGTTTGGTGTGAGATGGTTGCCAGCCTGGGAGTGAGTTGTGAGATAGTCATGTGCCAGTAAGAATGTGAACATGGAAGCATAGGAAGCTAAGCATTGAAGTCATTACCAGGCAACAGCCAGTGAAGATACAGCAGACTGAGAAGTCATGGTGCGTGCTGTAGTAATATGTAGAGTGTGAATTAAGGATAGCATTATAGTTACTTGTAGTTACGATCTGTAAGTGTTCAGCAAATCAGATTAGCAATCCAAACCCTATCTATAGCCACTCATACATGAGACAGTATTGTCACGTGTAAGGGGGTATGCGTGACGGGTTCTGGTTAGGATGATTGGGTTTATTAACAGCTTGGTTACACACTCTCTTAATCACACTTAAATGCATGCAATACAGCGGTATCACTGATTTACACACTTTCCAGTTCACCATTGCACATGCACAAGGAATCTCTGTCACTACTAGTCGTTATCTACCAGTGGATCTCCACACAGAAACTGTCACTCAAATCACTATAAGTATTACACCTAAGATCTACCAATTGCATATGCTAGTGGTTCTCAAACTGTGGGGCGCGACCCCCAGGGGGGGCGCAGCATACTTTCCTACAGATAAAAATTAAAACTGCCCTAAAGCAATTATAAAATGCGTATGCCAGAGACAGCGTTGATAGTTCGGCAGCAGCTGCATCCTCTGAAATCCTCTGAAGTCTAGACTTTTTAAAATGTTGTGTGAGGAAATGGGTACCAAACACACTGCTCTGTTGTTTTTTTAGTGATGCTCGATGGCTTTCCAGAGGTAAGGTATTAAAGAGAATGTTTAAGCTGAGGCATGAGGTGTTATGTTTTTTAAATGGGGAAAATCACTCACTAGCAGACAGTTCCAGCAACAAGGATTTTTTTTATTGAAAATGGCTTACCTCACAGATATATTTGAGAAATTAAATATCCTTAACACTTCACTTTAAGGGAATGAGGCAACTCTACTTTCTTGGAATGACAAAGTGAAGACATTCATGAGAAAATTAGAGCTCTGGAGAAATAGTATGGAAAATGACATGCTAGACATGTTCCCTAGTCTGGTGTCAATGGTACAAGACACTGATAATCCAGTGCTTCCAATGGACATAAAAAGCTGCCTACTTGTTCATCTCATAATGTTGAAAGTTCATTTCGAAAAATACTTATGCAATGAATTTGATAAATTTAATTGGATTAAAAATCCATTCGAAAATGCTCCTGGGCCATCATCTCTGAATGTAAATGAGCAAGAATAACTCATCGATCTCACTAGTGGTACTTCGTTAAAAAGTAAATTCACGAAATTGTCTTTGTTGGAGTTCTGGATACATATGGGCAAGGAATTCCCAACTTTGAGCCAAAAGGCATTGAAGATCCTGATTCCTTTCGCAACAACTTACTTATGCGAGACAGGCTTTTCTGCTTCGGCAGCTATGAAGTTAAAGTATCGTTCAAGGCTAAATATTGCTAAAGAAGTTAGAGTGGCCATTTCTGATATTACACCACGTTTTGATGAACTTTGTTCTCAAAAGCAGGCCCATCCATCACATTGAACTTAGACATTTAAATGTTTGATTTTCTTTGCACTTGTTAGTTAAATATTGTTTCATTTCAATACATATTTTGGTTAATTGCAAGTGTTAAAACTAATTTATATTGTAGGCCTAATATTGTGATACTTTAATTTTGAGTAAAAAATCTGCTAAATAGTATGTAGAAAAACACAAAACAAACTGAATAAAATGTCAAACATACCATGACTTCTATTTTGATAAAAAAAACAGGCTGGGGGCCTGAGAGTATTTTGTGTTGTCAAGGGGGCTCAGAGGTAAAAAGTTTGAGAACCACTGGCATATGCAGTATCACTGCAGTGTCCCAAACGTAAAGTGTTCTAAATCACACTTGACATCCTCATAGGGCAACCTCCTTATTCTCCTGTATTCCTGATTCCACTTCTACTTTCACTACTCATTTTCGTTCGGTGTGGCCCTGTAGCTGTAAATTAGACAGCACAGCACGTCGCTATCAGCAGTGCTGTTGCGTAATCCAAGCGTCAGTGACATCATGGCACATTGCGTAGGAAACATGTCATGTGACAGCCACATACTGTTGTGTGATGTCACAGTGCAGCTGTTGCATAGCGACAGCCCGTCTGTGGACAAAGAAAACACTGTTTTCATACTGTTGGCGGCATTTGTGTTGCACTTTTTGTCTAGCAACAGGTATACACGCCACAGTATATTGTAGCACGTAGAGAGACGTTACAAGGTTACAACACAGTAAACAACTTACAATAACAATGATTGGATACATAACAAAGAAACATGTCACATCTGCTGTGACATCACACAACAATAGGAGAGCTGTGGAAGTGGTGTTGCCATCTGGTCTGGCACCAGGCGGACAGCACCACTGCATTGGTACACTTGATACCACGCCACCCACATCAGGAGAGGAATGGTGTTTTCTGCTGGGTCAGTTTTGAGGCTATATCACTCAACCGACCAAGCTGAGTTCAGTTAATGCAGTGAAGCAGAAGTCAGTTGGGTAGTGAGTGAGTTAGAGGACAGTTGCGGTTCAGTTCTTGTTATCTGTTGATGTTAGAATCTGGTAGCTGAGACTGGGGATAGTTCAGGAATCCACAGGAAGGGGAGCGTCTGCCTTTGGAAGCCGCTATCAAGCAACTGCTAGTGGAGACTCCATACTCATGACAACTGGTTTTAGAAGTGGGATTAGATTGATCAATTATTGAATTGAAGATTGCATTGTGCAGTTATATTGCTGCACTGTGGAGATGGAACAAGTGCTGACATGCCAGCTGGCCAAAATGAATGTCATGCAAGGAAAGAAGGACTTAGTCAAGAAGAATTGAAAGCTGTGGAAACCAGCCATGGGAAGATAGACGATGGCCTAGAGGAGATGAAAGCCCGGGTGACTTCCCTCACCTTCCAGATCGATGTCAATGAAGATGAGATGAGAGCCAGAGTAAGTGCCATCCAGTATACAGTGGATGCCTGGAAAGAAGAGATGAAGGCTATGTTGGAGGCCTGTCTAGAAGGGTGGAGGCCAGAACAGCAACCAGCCAGGAACCAAAGGAGGCCAAAACTAAGACTGACCTGGAAGAGTGACTGCCACAGAATCAGAAATGAGTCAGGAAGAAGTAGAGGCTGTGCTGAAGCATCAGGAAGTGTGTAATGAAGAAGCTGTGGTGGAAACTATCAGTACAGTGGAATACTGACATCTAGCTGTAGAGCACCACCAACAGCTGAAGAAAAGGACCCAGGGTGATGGTGAGTTCCGGAGGAAGGTGGCCGCTGCTCACAGACAGATGACTCGCCATGCCATTCCTGCACTGTGCAAGGGATGTAGTTGTTGGGGACCAGGTAAGGACACTGTTGCAAGAGGAGACCTTAAAGGTTGAATGTTTGATAGGAGGTGACAGACTTGCCAGAAGTATAGCAAGGGAATAAAGGACTGATGTGCGAGACAGCAGCTACATCTAGGAAGTGAGAGGGAATTCAGTAAGACTATCAGGCAGACTCTCGGACCAGAGGTCGTGAAGGAAGTAGTTGGGATTTCCATCGGATTCCAGAAAGTGAGTGATTGGACATTGTGGATGAGATGGGGCCCTCCAAAATGAAAGAAAAGGCATCAAAAGTACAACCCAAGAACAAAGATGATGGTGGTACACTTGGAGCGCCTGGCAGCTTATTAGAGAACTATTTGGGATGAGTGGTGGGAGCAGTTGGGGAGCGGTCACCATGAAAACAAAGCCATGAGGAAGGAAGGTAAGGCCATTCACAGATGTCACAAGCCCAGCCCTCGGAAAGGATTAGTTAGTGCAGTGAAGTAGATGTCATTTGGCTAGTGAGGGAGTTAGAGGACTGTTGCAGTTCAGTTCTTGTGAGCTGTTCTTAGAAGTTGGTAGCTGGGGCTGGGGATAGTTAGGGAACCCACAGGAAGAGGAGGGTACACCATTGAAGCTGCTACCAAGCAACAACTAGTGGAGACTGTAACAGACTGAGAACACTGTTTGTGTGTGATAGTGATTTGTGAAGTGTAGTAACTAGTCATATAAATGTGCAATAAATCCAATTACCAATCCAAACCCCATCTATAGTCACACTCCATATGCATGACAATATTGTGGCATGTTTGCTCAAAGCTAGAATAATGAAGTCAGAAGGGAATACTGTTGCTAGGAAACTGCCGGCAAACACGTTTCCATGACAATGGATATGCACACAATAACAGAACTGTTGAAGTTTGTGTTTTCTATTAGGTCAGTTCCAAGGCTATATAAATACACCAGAGAGTTGATTCCAGCTTCTTCGCAACATCGGACAAGGTGAAGCCAGACACAGAAAGTATAAGAGGCTTAAACTTGGCGGCGGTCAGGCATACTACCGTTCAAGTGACTAGGCTACTGTGGTAGCGAATACTAGTAGAAATAGGGCATAATGTGCTGTACCGAGCCTGGATTGACAGAGGCCTTGTATATATTGTACATAGGAATAGGAATTAAGTTTAGATTGTAAATACTGACAATGGACTTACTAACACAGACTATGACTGAAAAATGACAGACCCGACCTCTCATCAGATAGGGCACTCCAAATGAACAGGACAGTAACTTTCATACAAAGAAAAAAAAAATCTGTCGGGGCTCGACACCAAGACAGACAGACTGACTGACCGTCAGTCGCAATGTGAGTATGACTTCGACTTTGATTCCAGCTTCTATGTTCAGTGGCTTCTGTCCTCACTGGGTGGCTACCCTCTTATGTCTAACCTGAGACCATAACTATTGTCTGTTTTCCACTGCAACCATGATTGTCCACTCACTAGCTATCCCCAGCTCTTACACTGGCTATCAAGAGCTGGTGATAGTCAATGAGGGGACAGTTGTGGTTGCAGTGGAGAATGGGGGACAGTTACTCTCTTGGGTTAGATGTGAGAGGGTTGCCAGCCAGCAAAGATAAAAACCATTGAGCATGGAGGCTGAGGAATGTACATGGTAGGGAGGTGTTACCAGGCAGCCACTAAGGAAGATGAGAAAACTTACTGCATGCAATAGTGAGTTGTAAAATGTATAAATTAGTGAGACTGCTGTAATTCTTTGCAGTTAAGAGTTTTAAGATTCCAGTAAATCCAATTGCTAATCCCAACCCCATGTCTTGTCACTTAACATGCGGCTATATTTTGCTTATTTTTATTTATTATATACTCCATCTACTATGGGAATGAGGATGCATCATCAGTTTATACTGTAGGCCATTGCATCATTGTTGCAAAGTTACTAGATTCTGTTTTCAGTATATTCCTGTGTTCATACATGGTGGGAAATGCTTGAAACTTAGAAAATTGAATTTTTGCACATTTATTTTGGGCTGAACAATTGAATTGCTGTACAATCAAAACCATACACATGTCCAAACCTAGTCACTCTTTTCCTGTCCCCTAGTGGTTTGCCTTGGCTCTCTGATGTAGCCGTTGAGTATTAATGTGTTGGCTTCCAGGGTCCTTTCTGCTTTATAATCCCATGTTTGTTCAAGTTATATGCTTTTCTTGTGGGGACACGCGGTAGCATAGTGGTTGAGG